AGTCTTCCACTACCCAAATTCCTTCTACAGACACCGGCTTGTCTTTAGATTCAAAAACATATGCCAGATATCCATAACACTCATGCTGCAACATCTTATCAGCTTGCATGCAAGAAACAAGTAATGGAAATGATCCAACTTTTTCTCCTTCAAACCGAATCACAGGCTGGTTAGGAGCGGAAAAAGTAACCACTTTCTCATAACAATCAACCATGGCATAATGGGTAGACAACCAATCCATACCAAGTATGACATCAAATTCCACTATCCCTAACAAAATCAGATCGGCAAGCAAAACTCTACCCTCTACCATAACTCTACAAGATCTATAAATGGTTTTTGATGTTAAAACCTCCTTAGAAGGAGTATTCACCACAAGCACACAATCAAGGGTTTCAGGCTCCACATGCAAAAATGGCACATACTTAGGTGACACAAATGAGTGGGTAGATCCAGAGTCAATCAACACATGGGCATTCCCAAAAGAGATAGATATTTTACCTTTTATAACTGTAGGAGTGTTTTGAGCTTGTTGTTCTGTAATGGCAAAAACTCTTCCTTGAACCCTGGGCTTCTTATTATCTTGATCCTTTGGCTGCTGACTTGCTCCCTTGAGAACTGGGCAATCCTTGATCAAGTGGTCAGTCTTCCCACACTTGAAACATGGCCCAATCTGCCAATAACATTCTTTTCCCCCATGATTCTTACCGCACCTCTTACAAAGATCAAAACTTGGTCGGTTGCTTTCGGGGATCTTCCTTTTTCCCCTTTGTTCAGGCTTTTTGTTGAAAGGATGGGTGTTGATAGCCTTTCCCTTGCCTTTTGAGTCATAAGTCTCCATTCTTTGCTCTTCCATATCTTGCTCAATTATTTGAGCCGTGGCCAAGACCTCATCATAAGTCTTTAGCATTTGAGGAACCACCATGTTCCTAATGGAAGCTTTCAACCCTCTTTGAAACTTCCTTACCTTTCTAACTTCATCATTAACAAGGTGAGGAGCAAACTTCATAAGAGAACTGAATTTGGCTTGATACTCATCAACTGTCATGTCATCTTGCTTCAAATTCATGAACTCCAGTTCCTTTCTTTCCAACACAGCTGCAGAAAAATATTTTCGATAGAAGGCTTGAACAAACTTGTCCCATGTAACCTCCTCTCCTTTCCTCTCTTAGAAAACCCATCTTGAGCAGCTGTCCACCAATCATCAGCTTCACCTTCTAATGTGAACACTGCTAGCTCCACTTTTTGCCCGTCAGTACATTTCAGGAGCTTGAACATCTTTTATAATTTCTTAACCCAAGACTCAGCCACATCGGGATCAGGAACTCCCTTGAAGCTAGGCAGGTTCATATTCTGAAATTGCTTCACTAATGTCAACTGCTCATTTCCTTCTCTAGAGTCCACTGTTTGCTGTGAATTGCCACCAGTGTTTTGTGGGGCATTATTGTTGTTCTGATGTTGAAGATAATCCTTAAAGATGGAACTCATATCCGTAATGGCCTTTTGCATTATGTCCATTCAGGTATTCACATCATCAGCAGGAGGAGGAGTAGAAGTATTATCTCCTTGACTCATCTTTCTTCTCCGGTACTAATACAAACAAAGAGTGCAAAACTAATAGTTAGGCAAAATCTAATCCTATGACACTAGACTCTAACTCATATGGCAGATCAATATATTAACAAAACCTTGGCTCTGATACCAAAAATATAACACACCTCCCTAGGCACTCTTAGTCCTACGAGAGTTCGAAAGAAAAATTGATAGTAAAGAATTACAGCGGAAGTAAAAACACTTATGATATAAAATATTTTTTCAAAAGAAAGCCTACATTCAAAAAATCAATTTAATAAAAAGAATATCATATATATATTG